ATAAGTATTATTATTATAATTATTAAAATAATACTAATAGAATTAATAATTATTATAATTGTTATCATTATCAACAACATCATTGTTATCATTATTAGTATTAGTATTATTTTTACTATAGTTATTACAATTACATAAGTATCTATATTAATTAAATTATTAGGAAAATAATCTAGTTATTAACTTCACGGAAAAACATTGAATAATAGATATATTATCTCTTATAACATATCTTCTATGTCTTATCATTTGTCACTTACAACTTAACTATTACAATTTATCTATTATCACATCACTTATGTCTAAAGATATATATATAATAAACTAGATTGATAAGTGTGCATGCAGGTAATAAAGATAACTTAAATTACCATTTTCCGCCATCTTTATGGGAATTATAATCTTATCACATGTTTATAACTGTTAATTAATAAAATAACCTTTTTAAGTAGCACATTCAATAAGTAGTTAATTAATTTCAATTAAATTAAATACAAAATCGTTTGTGTACGGAATTATTTTGTATATTTCGTACATGTAATTACTGCGGGCGCCGGGCACCATCCGTATACCAATATTTAAATATATGATTTCCTTATACAAATTTGTATTACAAATATGATCATTTTTGCAAGCAAATAATTTACAACTTAATTGGTTAAGAAAATTGTTTAATATTTTTATAATTTATAAATTTTGATTATTTGAAAAATAAATAGTTATATAAAAAATAAATAGTTCACTAATTTCATTTAATATTATTACATAAATAACTTATTATTGCCAGGTTTGTATGCCAAAAAAGCTGTCGTCGACATCGTCGAGGTCAAAGCGAATCAATCGGTCGCAGACAACCAAGAGGATCAATCGTCGTTTACCTAAGCAGATACGTCATCGTCGTCGTCGTCCTCATCGTCGTAACAGTAAAACACTCTCACAAGAGTATTATATTTTTGAAACGTTTGGGTTGTCGTATCCTCAATACATTATCAAAACATGGCTGACTATTTAAACGTAATGGAAAAATATCATCACGATGATAGTATCAAACGTAAATACTATCTGGAACATCAGAGTTTCAACAATGCGTACGAGAACAATGATGAGATTCGTATCGAAGTGCTCAATAAGAAAAAGTTTACTGTGCCCGTCGAAAGTTACTTGCAAATTGAAGGGTACTTGGATAAACCTGCCGCCTGCGGCTGCTTCGGGCGAAATGATGCTTACCCAGAACGGACTCATGCATTTGTTTGATGAGATCCGGTACGAAGTTCACGGCAAGGAGATTGACAAGGTTAAAAACGTCGGAGTAGTGACTACAATCAAAGGATTTTGTTCTTTTACTCCCAGCGATATCACACGGATGCAACCGGCCGGATGGAAACACATCAATGACAACCAGACCAGTCGAGACCTGATGGACACGACAGAGTTTGTTGCACTATCGGCTTGCATGGGCTTTTTCGAACGGTTCCGTCGTGTTCTGATCAACTGTACACAATCACTTGTGCTCATCCGATCGAGCCGAGACATTGAAGCCATAGAGTTGATACAACCGGATGAGAGCATGAAGACTGAAGTGAATACCCCGGCAAACGTTGACTTACTCAAACATACCACAGTGAAAATTACTAAAATCAAATGGATCGTGAAATACTTTGAACCCAATGTGAAAACAGAATTGGGTCTAATGCGTATTCTGGACGGAAAGCGGTGGTTGCCTTTGGAATATCAACACTGGGTCATTGCGGTGTATCCTTTGGTACCTCAAACCACTCATCACACATGGTCGGTACGAACGTTTTCAAACGTTGAGAAACCACGGTATTTGCTAATAGCACTGGGCAAAGAACATTCCATACTATCTCAGTCGGACTTTCATCACTGTACACTGTGCAATGTCAAGGCTTACTTGAACTCTGACGAGTATCCGTACGAAAACTACAATGCTGATTTTGAAGCTGACAAACACACTTCAATGTACAATGCGTACACTCGTTTTCAAACAATATACTATGGACGTACCAATCCTCAACCTTTACTGGACCGTGTCCACTACAAGAATCTTGGACCAATCATAGTCATTGACTGTTCGAAACAGAATGACACTGTTAAATCGTCTACGGTTGACTTACGTATAGACTTTGAATGCGCCAAAGCTTTTCCACAAAACACTTCATTGTACTGTGTTATTATACACGACTGTCAGATGGAGTACAACGCATTTAGTGGAGAAGTTAGGAAATTATAATTGTATATATATTTTGTTTAAATAATAATATCTTATCAGATCCAAATCGGCAAATATGTTGAAATATTTACCCTGCAAACAAATTATAAGATTTAGCAAATTATAAGAAGTAAGATTTTTCATCGTTTACAAAAAATTAATACCTTTATTCTAGGACTGTTTTTTACAAAAATGATTCTTGAAGCGAAATCCAAACATTTCTCCATATACCTACTCGGTGTTTATGATTTCATGAAAATATATCATACACTCGTTAATTTTATTTTTTGGCATTGTCAGTTTGTCAGTATCATTATCAATGTTGTTGACAACATGTTTCATTATCATTTTTATTTCTCGTACGATCCGTGGTCTTGTAAGTATCAACTTTCGGTATACGTTATCAAATATTTTATTCTTTAATTTATACATCCGCTTTGCCATTTCGAGAGTCAGCGAAATGTCTATTTTCCGGATTGGACACATTGTAGCCGTTATATGGTTCATAAATGAGTGTTGTTGTTGCTGCTGTTTCTGTTGGCTTGCCATCTTGACGAACTGCTGTAGACTACTGACTCTCATTTTCCGTACACTTATTTGACAACTAATATTCATTTCGAGATTATTTTATTTTTGTTACCAACATCATACCAGTTCCCCACTCATAATTGTGTTTATCTCCTCTTGAAGATCATTGTATATACTTACGATGATTGAACATGGACACGGTCCATCGATTTGTTCCTCTCCGGTAGAATTACAAATACATTTCGAATATTTACCGTCGAAATCTGCTGTAAAAAAATCATATTGCTGGGACATGTTTTTCATAATTGAATATTTTCTAGACATTTTTGCTACTCTTTTGAAAAACGTGTTTTGTTCTGGAAACGTTATAAATAATCTTTCAAGTTGTTTATCGATTTTTTTGACAAGTCCATCTTGACTCACTACTCACACTAAACTAAAATTTAATTTATGAAAAACCCAATATATTATAACCATTAAAAAGATAACACAATCTTATCACACACGAATGTGAGTGTACCATATAGAAGAGATTACACGCGCGCAGCAATGATAAACATGTCACACGTTTGACTTTTGGTTACTCATAAAACATTTTTTTCCCATTAGGTTAGGTCATAAATCTGTGTGGGATAAGAGTATGATAATATTCCGATTTGACGTCACCGCGAGGATACGACGGCAGCATAAGTACACTCGTGTGACGTCAATTTTTGCAAAAAAATTATACACGTCAGCACTTTCCATTGATAACATTGGAATTTTAATAGGTTTTTAATTGCCCGCGGCATGCACCTGTGATAACATTGGAATTTTAAGTGCCCGCGGCAAGTACCTGTGATAACATTGCAATTTTGATGGGTTTTTAATTGCCCGCGGCTTCCTTTGATGCCTAGAACCGCCATGCATATGTGACTACACTGTTGTGATAATGGGTTTTTAATTGACGGCGCACAGTGTTTTCAATTGCTATTTTAGCTGGTCAAAATTCGTTAATGATATAAAATTGTACTAATATGAATAAAAATAATGACATACTAGTTTTATTAACAAAATTACAGTTAATTATTCACGATAGAATAGAAAATAAATATTGTACAAACTAGAGAACGTTAATGTAAATAAATTATATTAACATAATACATAGAATGCAATATTTTTACTGTGAGTGTTATAATAATTTGAACTAAATATTATTATTATTATATTTAATAAAAAAAAAAAAGAAACATCGAAGATAAAAAAAAAGTGAGTAGTTAAAATGTAGTTAAAATGAGTTGTTTAAATTCAAAGTGTTCTGCAATTAAGAGTTTAATTGCAAATTTTAATTAAAAATTAGCAAAAAAGCAGCAAGATGCGGCATTTCTAATTTAATCGATTTTATAGAGGAGAAAATTTAGAACATGACCATATTAAGTAACAACCTCTAATAATCCCTAATTTTTTTTTGCCATGCTATTTGATTTAAGAAACATAGGTTTTAATACTGCGTTTTACATAATATAAATAATTACCCTTTCATAAATAATACTAATATCTGCACCGCGTCGCTCAAAATCGTAATTTTAGTCAATACTTACCAATTATATTGATCTCCATTTTTTGAAAAATAAAAATAAAATTCTAGTATGGTCAATAATCTCACAACGTCCAATGAGTATTTCCAAAGAAGAAATGAACGATTTCTACATTTTTGTGACATAGTTATGCAGTATACGTGTAGTATAAAAGTCGATAAAACGTTAGCGAGTGGTAATTTAGCTTTCTAAAACTTATGAACTGTACGATACTTATACTTAAAAATAATATCAGATTATAGTAAAATTCTATTTTTGGCCGGCTACGATAAGATTGAAAACACTGTGCGGCGGCATCTTTGATGCCTAGAACCGGCTGGCGGCATCCCTGTGATGCCCAGAACCGGCATTTATAACACTACTCATGCACTTCAATAACTTTTAATTTGAGACTGGTTTACTAAAAATGTTGAATGGTCGATAACAAGTTTTTGATAACGTTTTTTAAAGTACTTAAGGGGCCTCTAAACTAGAATTTATCAAGGCGCATTGTATAGGTAATTTTTGACTAAAATGTTTAAATAAATATTACCATATGAAAGAAGTATCTATTTTGATATTTTTTTTTCAACTTTTATAACGCATATAAGATTTATTTTTGTACAAAAACATAGTTTTTTACTTCAAACGTAGTGTCCTTAAGAATACATCGATTTAAGTTTTTAAAAAAACATTTGAATTCTTCACAACATTTTCAAGGTATCGGTCGTACACAATTTTAAAATCATTTTCAGTAAATTAATTATTTCAATATAAATTAAATGCAATTTTTAAGCTATTTCAACTAAAATTAATAACATTTAACATAAACAAACATCAAGAATATACGAAATATTTTTTTTTTAATAATAACTGTAAAAAATTAAAATCAAAGTGCTTATTTGAAAGTGGTTCTGTCACTTTTGTTAAAAAATAATTCCTGTAGACCTGTAACCTCTCCGTACCTATTGCTTTGGTCACATTATGCCTCGACCCCACTGTACAAGCTTACTAGGACAAAATCACTTTCAAATAAACGCTTTGATAAGTACTATGCTTACTATGCAATGCGTAGTTATAACAAGAGTTTTGCATCATTCTAATAAAATATACTAAATAATTACCTAGATAACAAATTATTCAAAGTTCTTTGTTAAAAAATATATTAAAATAATTTTAAAAAATATCATTTAAATAGTCTATAAGTGTTTTTTTTAAGTAATTGTATTTAAAATTATTATTTTGTAACATTTAATACATTCTACATTTAGAAAATATAAAAAAACAGTTTCGTATATTACTTACCAAATAATTGCAAAAATAGTTGTACTGGCTGCTTCAATGGTTTTTTTACGATTGATCAAATGGCTTATGTATTGCCGACCGAAACAATAATATCTAGATGTATTTTGCAGAACTGTTTATGCAAATTGGTTAACATAAGCAACATTTGTCAATTTTCGTTATGAATATTATAGTAATATTACTCTGAAGCTTAATACCAAGTAGAGAATAATATTAAATTTACTTAATACTATAGTAGTATGAGTAACGATATAGTAAAGATGGGGTCTCAGCGGAGGTCTGTGTACACAATTTTAAACTTACAAAACAATTTGTGCAAACGATAACATACAAAAAACACGCAACAATACAAATATCAGATTCGACTGTTTTTTAACCCAGAATAAAAATATAGAATCAAATTTGTACGGAGATTACAGTTTTTTTTTTATAAAGAAGCCATTGTAATTTAATGTGATTAATTACATTGTATCCACTCAGATTCGTAAATTGGGTGTGTTAATGTTTCGTCAATATAAACATGTAACTATTTTAGACAAAATATGATTTTTTTTGCTGCAAATTATAGCTAATAAAATTGATATTTTGCAAATTAAAGAAAATTTGGTATATTTGCAATAAAACGATAACCTGATTGAGCGTTTAAACTACTCTTAGTATTTAAAAATAACGTAATTGTAAATAAATCCCAAAATAGAATTCAATTATTATTACTATAGCTCGAATACTGGTATTAATAAGTAAATTCGAAGGATCATTAAATATTCCAAAATATATTTTCAAAGCTACATCTTTTGCCCACCAATGTTTTTCGCCTATTAGATTCAAAACGTCTGTCTGCTTATGCGAGTAGCACAAAATAGGAAGTCGCTGCGGTAAGAAAGGCATGCCCAAAAACCTTGATCTTGACCACTTATGTTTAAGGCTCCGCCTGTTAAACCATAGATTATATAAAACCAGACGGTGCATTTCGTCATTTACTAATAACTGAAACCCTCCTCAACTTGTGTGACCAAATTCTAGAAATTCAGTTATTGTGAAAAACACTTTACTATAATATCAAATCAGTTATAACATCAGTGAACCCAGTGATACTCAGTTCTGAAATAATAATTTCTCATAAATAGTTTTTTTCCGACGATGGTTACTCTGCGTTGAGAAGGGTTTTGATTTATTTACATTTTCAGCAATTACTTGATCAACCAGTTTATCAATCACTAATAATTGCATCTAGTTAACGCATGGGGGTGTGGCTGTAAATAATAAAAAATTTCACTTCTTCAATCTTAAAAATAGAGATCAACCCCTCCCCCGAATAAAAAATTAAGTCAATGCAATTGGGTATGCCTCTTTAACAAATTATTTTTCGACCAAAATTTCATCACACTTCTTCTCTTGAAGAGGGGTAACATTTTAGTATTTTAACCGTGTTTTTAAGATTTGTGATCTATAGTTTGTACTAAAAATTGGTCTAATATATACCCTATTACGAACTGCAAAATAATGTAAAAATACGACGACAGATTTTTTTACTATCAAAGAACACCGGATTTTTGAACTTAAACTTTAAATTTATAATTTTATACATCCATGATTAATATACTTATCAAGTGTACACCACTTTTATAATTT